GCGACTGAATTTTGTTTTTGTCGTATTTTCTTTTCATTTTTTGACCAATAACAATTTAAAGTAACAAGAATAGAAGCTATTCATAGAGAATCAAAAAATAATATGAAGGTCTTGTTACAATATCGCTGTTCTATAAAAACGACCAATACTTGTTGACGGATTGAAAACCTGACTTCAATGAAAAATCAGGGATCCCGCGTTTTATTTTTGCCTTTTGATTTATAATCAAAACGTATTTCACGAAAAAAAAGTTTTACTCTTTAGTTATCTTACAAATTTCTAACACTAAYACAAATTAACAATTTTGCTTAGTTTGGCTGATAACTTTAGAACAAAAATAAGTGAATTTTCACACACTTTGTCTTAATTGTTGACTCAGCACGTTTCGGTTTCGACTATCAACAAGCTGCAAGATCCCATGTTATTGGGTTTTATCATTCAGCAAGACGAGAATCTTTATACCTCATAAAACACGATCTCGAGTGTTTTAAACGGCTTTAAAAACTCCAACATTAATTTGAAACTCAAATCTGTTAAAATTCTTCGAGAAATCGCCGTTAAAATATGTTTTGAGATAAATGGGACAAGCTGATCATGCGCGAATCACATTACAAAGCACTGTTGTCATCCCCCATTGAATACGCATTAAGTAAAATAAAAGCGTTGTTGGATGTTTACTGCAAACGGTTGACATCCTGCATTGGTCAATGATCAGGTATCAAACCTGAGACCTTTGCTAGAGTCATGGACCTTTATATCTGATAAAGGTCACCCTTTAGTATTCTTTATATAAAGATTTTTTTTCTATAAATTCTAGCACTATGTAGATATTTATTGCTCAATTTACAGAAAGTCTTTTTTTAAATATTTGCAAAACTGGAAAAAAACTACACTACATATTGAGACACGAATCAACTTTAAAGTTGATATTTGTGTCCAACTATTTAGTTGTGATTACTGAGCAAACGATTTTTGGGATATACAAACTAGTTCCTGTGTCACACGGAACATGTATTTGCCACAATGATAAACCCGGCTTCATTAATGGCAAAACCAAACGATTTTCGCTACAAATACTGCATTTAAAGAAAAAATATTCTACTATAAATATAAGGCACATTGAGAGCAACCACATGCGCTTTTTGAGCGCCTTTAATTGATGTCGCATCATAGACCTTTGCTAAGTCAATGTGCAGACATGCACTAGCATAGACTAGCTGTTCTGTGTGATATCAAAACTCTTTCAATTGTGGCACACATGCTCGTTAAAAGCTTAATAACTTTCATATTACGCGCGCTCTGATTGGTCAAAAAGCCGTGTTTGATGAGAGCATAATACACGCTCGCGTCATTTTTTTTTTCTCGGCTTTTTTTCTCATGAATATTTGAGCGCTTGTTTTTTTATAAAAGCAATAAAAAACAGTTTTCCGTGTATTATACTCTGATAAAAACACTTGGGATGTGGAGAGAACACTCGAGAATCTGGAAACCTACGCTTCTCTCGTGTTCTCCCACATCCCGCGTGTTTTTATCAAAGTATACAAAACTGTTTTTTATTCCTTAAATATGCATTATCACTGTTTTCGCATTTTTAGCGTTTTTCTAAAACGATAGCAATTATGGATGTTGGAGTTCTAGAAATCGTTTCTAGAACTCATTAATAATTCATGAGCTATTAGTCCAATCAGAATCCAACTATTGGGTCACATGATGGACCTTTATATCCCGATAAAGCACTGATGTTTTATTAATCAGTTCTATATCAGAGATATAGAACTGATGTTTTATTAATCAGTTCTATATCAGATATAAAGAACTGATGTTGAAGGTCATCAGCGCTTTATCGCAACCCAACACTAGCAAAGGTCTCAGTTTTAATGTCGCATCATAGACCTTTGCTAGGTTTTAAATCAGTTTGWATCAATGTGCAGATATGGGGTATAGCATAGACTAGCCGTTCTTACGTGTGGGATCAAAATTCTTTCATTTGTKACAAWTGSACATGCTCAGTAGAAGTTTAACATGCATAATCTCTGTTTTCGCACTTTTTAGCTTTTTTCTAAAATGATAACAATTTCTGGATGTCGGAGTTCTAGAAGTAGTATAAAAAACTCGCAGTCGTCCTGCTCGTTTTTTAAACACTACTTATAGAACTCGAGTATTTTATCGTGTATATAGCCTGCGGCTCGAATTTATATCTTAAATTAGTGCTCCTTAGCTTTCTTGAACTAATGACTGGAGGTTGACGGGAAACCAAAAGCTATCCGTAGAGCCAAACCATCATCAACTCGGTACCAGTCTTTTAGTCGAATAATGAAAAAATGATTTTAAGAGATCATGAGCATTTGATAGGATACATAGATATCCCGTTTATTACTAAAGAAGACTAGGCAGTCAAACGACTGAATAAATAAGTACAATAAAATATGAAGAATATTAAAGACATATTACATGTAATCAGACGATGATGAACCTGTCTCTAAGTCTCTGTATCCAGATCTTAGGATATACTTCTGACGGCAACGTGACGGAAGTAGATGGTAGAGTTTATGGTAGCCATGCGCAATGTCATTAAATAGTTCTTTACACGGTGTGCGCATGGCATCCTATCATGGGGTTGGCAACCCTAGAACCTCCTCTCCTTGCAACTACAACCTTGGAAAATAATGCGTAATGCACGAAGCTGCGGGGGATACGTTCAATTTCATCCCACATATAGGTACAACTATAGTATGCAATAAAGAAATCTGACATGTCATTGTGCGATATAGTTTTTGATTTAATATCTTAGAGAACCATTTAAATTCCTGCTTATATTAGCTCGAATAACTTTGGCTGAACACACCCACACTCGACATTATGACCTCTGAGAGGATCAAGTGAAAGTGCGCCTGAAGCTCATCAAGACATATAAACTACCCACAAATCAACCAAAAAATTGCTAAAAATTATTTGCTACATAAAAAAGGTTTAGTCTAGTGTTCAACTTCTTGTAGATCTTTTACATTAGATAATTTTATGTTTTTTTTAGTCTTCTGATAGGTCTTCCTATTGCAGAAGACAAGCAGCCTTTTTATGTCGGTTGAGCGCGGCCGTACAACCTGTAACGAGCATCGACTTTCGTTGGGATACAAACGTAACTTTTACCCTAAACGCTGTACAGCAATTGATCCTTCCTTCAAGGTCTAATTCTAGTAGTTAGAGGTGTGTAATAGAGAATTCTTTATAAATTGTGATTACAGAGAACTCCTGGACCAAGGGTAGTCCATTTTAAAAGTCTCTTTTGGTAGACGTTTTGATATGGAGGCCTTAGATTACTCAAATCTTTCTAAGAAATAAGGAAAAGTATGAAGTAGAARTTTCTCTATGAACATGGAAGAGATAGAAATTACCACTGGGTCAGAATATGACATCCAATATAAAAACCAGGTGTTTTAAGCTACAATTTCTGGTAGTTTCGAAGCCGAGTGTTCACTTTGCGCACTGTCAAACGAGGGCACCAAAKAATAGTCTTTATCATGATCGATGCTGCTAAAGTCYAAATATGGATTGTCCTCAAGCAAAAGTTCTTCAAAGTTCCTTACAATTTCACTGAACGTTGGCCGACCGGTTGGTATTTCCTCCCAGCACTTTCTCATTATCTTATATCTGGAAAAAACACAACATTTCAAAGTTATTTTTGAATTTTTACTTACATTTTACATAGAGGATATTACATGGCGAGATCAGATGTCAGTTTTATCCTCGAGTTTTGAAAAGATCTCTCACGAGTGAGCGTAGCGAGATTTTCAACACGAGAAGATAAAATCCCATTCCTAGCGACCTTGTAATATTCTGTATATCATATAATTACAAATGAGAGCAAATCATATGTTGTAAAATAACAGTTGTATGTACTTCCAGTATTCAAAGATAACAATTGATTTAGTGAAAACAACAACTTTTTGAAAGGAGAACTACAGATATTCCATAGGTGATTATATGATGATATGATCGATCGTATATACCACAATTTACCTATTTTTACCATTTTTATCGTTTTTGTATTGTAATTTACGCATGTGCAATTTCTCATTTCGAATTTTTTTCATCTTGATTTTGGCTCCAAGCTTATCTTGGCCAAATCATATAGCAAGATGCTGAGGAAAATTGCACAATGTAAACGTTCCATAATTTTCTCGGCAAATTTGTCGCAACAACACTGCGAGACAAGTTGCTTATTGGACAGCACCTTAAGCCCTTTCTAGAATAGAAAACTGCATTGTGGCATAGCCTTCGTGTAACTTCATTCCCGTGCTTTTTGGCTGCGTATTTGAACTTGAAGATACTATGTCTAAGGAGTTCATGTAAACCTATCTTTGCCGTTATGCTCTTGATGTGTTTTACTACTGTCATACTTCTCTTATCGTTAACCAGGCTARCATTTGCAGTTTATTATATGGCCCAACTCTTACACGACGGGCAAATGTTCATCTATCTGACATGTTTTTGTTGGTGTATACTTTTGTACTTACATTTCATCTGAGCACATGTCTGGTTGCTCCATACGATATCCATTACGGATCTCTCGAACCAGGTCACGAGTGAACATCGAAGGATACGGAGCACCACCTAAAATGGATCAAAATATTAAACTTCCTTCTTAGCTGTTTGGTTTGTGCACAGTCAATAGTAAGTCTATAGTGTACTATCGGTCTATGGTAAGTCTATAGTCTACTATAGCGTCTATAGTCCAGTGCAGCCTTACTCACCTAGCGTTGAGATTTCCCATAAGACAACGCCGTAAGCCCACCTAAAACAGATAATATTATGTGTGTTATTGTAGGCAGGATCGTGTAGCCTCAGTASACTCGAGTAAATCGAGTGATCTGTTATAGGTTGATCTCGGTCTTGTTTCAAATTTTTTAAATTGTTGCTTTACACAGCTTACACGTAAAAATATAACAAATGATTACAAAACAAAAATGTTGCCAAAAATCATGGAAGATCGAAGGCGAGTTCTATCATCTACGTGAAATTCAGATGACCAAAAACTAGTTCAATAATATATATTAATTGACAGAAAGCGTAGACGATAAACTGCTCAAAAATGTTATGTTCACTGTTAAAGTTTAGTCAATGAAAACTGACATGCATATGATGAACCTCTTATAAACCGAGCTTGCTCTGTCGAGATCTAGTCGAATTTCAAAAGCCGTAGTTTCATTCTTTGTTTATCGGTTTGTCTATCCAGATAGCGCACTTGGTTTATAAGACTTAATCAATGTTAACAACAATTAATATCAATATTATCGCTGATTATTACACGGTCGGCAAACGTAACAACATGCGCGACCATATTGTATACGCATGTCTATATCAATAATTAACGAGTTCTATCTGTGAACGTTGAGCAACATGCGCGACCATATTGTATACGCATGTCTATATCAATAATTAACGAGCTCCTCTAGTCTTATCTGTGAACGTTGATTGTATTAGCCTTGCAACAGTCTTAATGTCGTATCAAGCGCCTTTTTGAGCACTAGCGTACGAGTCGTTCTTCCCAATGCGGTACGTGTTTGTTATTTAAAGTCTGAATAATTAAGATTACAGTGATAAAGATGATTGTTGTAATTGGGATATTAATTTAAAACCAATAMTTGATTATGATAATTAAAATATTAACAATAATTCTTACACATCACTTTCAGTAGTGAAAACTTGATCGTAGATAGCCTCAGGTGACATCCATTTTATTGGTAGCCTCCGYTGTGCACGAGCGTGGTAGGCGCTCTCTTCATACAAGTCACGTGTTAATCCAAAGTCTGATACTTTTACTTGTTTGTTGTCAGCAACAAGTACATTCCGACAAGCTAAATCACGATGAACGAATCCCTTTTTTGATAGATATTCCTAAAACGTAATGATTTCAATTGCCAATTATAATCAAGAAAAATATAACAATTTCAACGCGAAATATGAAGGTGAGAAGATGAAAGGCACATATTTCACATACTGAATGAACGTAAATCAAGAAAGTTCAGGATAATAATAGTCATTAATAATAATAATTAATAATAGTCATTAACTCTCACCATTCCTGAAGCAATTTGATACGAAAAAGACATCAGATCTTTAGGTGTCAAAACATCGTCCTTTTCAATTTCAAGAGAGACCGGTGCATTCTTTTCTACCGGGGAAGTGTCAAGGCCAGGATTAATAGCATATCGTGGCTAAAAAAACAATTTACAAATAATATCAGCACTAAATAGAGATCAAGAAGCATCACAACTTTTGACAGATCTAAATAGTAACATTTAAATTCAAATGGTTTTTAGGAGTTTACTAGTCCGCCTATCAACATCATGCACGTAATTAATAGATCAAGTACAACAAAAACGTTCACCCTTGTCTCGCGATTTGTCATTATATTTTGAGGGAATTTKCTATGAGCCAGGAATGCAGTAATATATTTATGCGCGAGCATACAGACGTGTAGCGTGGACTTTTTGGCTAGTACGCACATGTCAGGGACCGTGCAACACATATTTTGGATCTGGGGGTATAACRACCAGGTAATTTTGAAATAATAACTCTTGGAAATGCGATTTCTAGCGTTTTGAGAGACATCGAGGGGATATGAAAGGAATCAATTTTATGTGAATTTTTTAGTAATTTTTGTAAAAATTCCTTGCCACTAGTACGCACGTGCGTATATGCGTAAAGGACGCTACGCGCCTGGCATAAATTGCTATTTTGAGGGTAAACASAAAACGGATTTACTATGACGTCCCAAGATTTCAATGCAAACACAGCAATGCAAAGAGTCGTGGAGAAACGATAAAATTCAACTGATTGAGTCAAAACGACACTTCACGCTGCATTACTATAGCCGTACCTCGTCGATTACTTGTTTGTTGATAACTGTCTTCGTATGCAGGTAGGCTGGTGCGAGCTCTTTTCCTTTAAAACCGCTGATCTAAAAGAAATTATACAAGAAAATGTTTGTTATWTATTTATTATCGTCTATTCATCTTTATTGTGCAGTTTCTCTTTTCGGTAAATTACACTTTATTACAATTTGTATCATGGATTAGTAGAAAATTACTCTAGCAGTAAATTTGAAAAAAAATACAATGACTAGAAATCTAGTACTGCACTATACGTTATAGAGAAAACTGAGTCTCTAGGATCATCAGATGCGTTGAAGTAAAAYAGCAAAGCAATTTAAACGGAATGAAAAAGGCCATGCAGTGATTACCTTGTGTCGATGAGTTCGTAGGTAGTTTAACAAGTCTCCGTTTGGTAAATACTCCACGACAAGAAAGTTAGGTTCACTAGTGGTGCAGCAGTAGAGAAAGTTGACAATATTTTGATGGCTGCCGAGTTTCTTCATTAGGTTGATTTCTTTTACAAATTCCGCCTTTTCACTTTGATCTGCCATTTCTGAAATAAATATTATAAATACATTTATAAATACATTTATAATTATATTATCAATCGCAAATATTCTGACACTGACCACTGACGTAACATCATGAGTGCATCATGGGTAGTTTCATGTGATTTGCGGTCATGTCCTTGCTAAACCAGATAGCAAGTCATTCGAATACTATGATATTCAACGCAATCTGTAGTTTTA